AGTGAGACCCCAGAACCTTTAAAGTATACAAAGTATGTATCATAGTGATGGTGTTATCAAAAAACAGAACATAACAAGTGTTAAGAAAAATATGGAGCAATTGGATTCATACATTAGTGGAAATGCACTTAGAAAGGGTTAAGATAGAAAATTGTATGCTATGTGTATTTGTCACAATTTAAAAAATAATTAAAAAATGGTTAAAATGATATATTTTATGTTATTTATATTTTGTTATTTATATCTACCCTCCCACCCCCCAAAAAAGAGCTCCAAAGAAGTTGTACAAATGGCCAAAGAGATGATGTGCTTCCTCAGTTTAGAAACACTGTTCTAGTAAAAAAGGACAAGGGAAACAAATAATTTTAATATATAGTTATTTGTGTCTGGAGACACCCAAATATCTAGTTGACTTTATTATCTGGGGGGGAAAAAAAGTAGATAATCAAGTAAATAGCCTGCTTATTTGTTGCACTTGTTAGTCTACAACAAATATAATGCCTGATATATTGCACTTTTCAAAACTACCCCATCTGATGAGACATTTTTACCTCAAAATGATAGTTGAGAAAACATACAATAGAGTTAAGAAGAAAAAGAACTATTAAAAAATTTAATAAAGTATGAAAAAAAATCATAAACCTACAAATTCTAGCACAAGTTGTTTGGAAAAGTAATCCCCAAAGAGGTAACTAAAAATGATCTATAAGAACTTTTCTACATATCAGGATAGGAGTTGTATGATACAGTTTTCAGAATCCATCTAATGTCAGGTAATGCTTTAATCTCATTTTATCCAAAGCTAAATTTTTCTTCCACGTAAATCTATAGTTAAAAGACTTTCATAAATTAATGATTCCTGGTTTCAAGGAATAAAAATATTAAAATACTAAAGAATGAGTTTCTATTCCAAAAGCTTATTTAGATATAAATCTATCTGATGTTCCTGATACAGGAAAATTAGAAAACACATACTGACACTGACCGTAAGCAATTCCAAATCTGTTAAAATAGTAATTTAGCTTCCATTTGTACCTGGAGTATTAAAACTTGGGCTGAAATTGATAAAGACTGTCAATTTCAGAGTTTCAATGGAGCACAAAATGAGAAAGAAAAAGCAGAGGAAGATTAGCCCAGTTGCTAAGACGTAGGTGTTAGGTGAGTAAGGAGCCACCATTCAGAGGCCAGGTGAGCTGTTTAGAGCCTAGTGAATAAGACTGGTTACAGGTATGTAGCTCCCGAAGCACATTTAGGATTTTGATGAAGCACAAGGAGAGATGGGCCTTATATAGAGGCTATATCTATGTATCATCCATATATACAAACTATATGTATAATCCCAGAATCTTTTAAGAAGGAATTCAAGAGTAGAAGTTGGATGGGATGAGGGCAGGATCTGAACCCGGCCATAAGGAATGTGAAGGTAGTAGAGGTGAGATGGGCGTCAATAGAGGTGCGGAGGAATGTAGAGTAGGGATTGAGAGCCTCAGTCCCAGTGGAAATAAACACAGAAATCAAAATCCAAATTTGCAGATACTGAAGACCCAGACAACTAAAAGTAGAACTAGCAACAGATCCTAGCCAGGTCAGACTGGATGACAGGCAAAAGAATTCAGACAATAACAGGCTGGATGGGGCACGGAACGCATATAGCAAGCTGCTCATCTGAGCAACTGAGGTAGGGGTGCTTTTCTGGGAGTCCAGCAGAGAGCACGAGAGCCCAGGATATGGACATCCTTGCCAAGAATGTTCTTCACCTGAAGTTTGCAGGTTCTTGTTAATTTTGTAGCAATCTTGCTAAGGGTTTCGCGTAACTTGATCTTCCCTTTCATTTCCTTAATCACTTCAACAGGGTGGGTAATCTCTAATGAGCATCTGGGGAACAATGACACCTACTGTTTGAGCTACTGTAGCTGCAGTCATCCTGCCACATGAGACGCAGCAGTACAGATTTGTAGCTACTGTTTCTTTCCTTTGCCAAAAAAAAAAAAACAAAAAAAAGACAAATGGTTCTGGTGAGTTAGGCTAGGGTGGAGAAGTGCTGAAATTACAGAAAACAGAGTTCTTATCACAGAAGATATTTAATCTAGAATGAGAATATATGAGTGCACGTCTATTTATAACAGTCCTACCTTACTACAGAAAAAATTGAAGGCAACTGAAATGTACAGTAGACTACCATGTGGCTCAGCCATGAGTGTTTCTAACAGAGAATCGTAATCACAGAAACTGGAATTCTACAAGGTGAAAAGTAGAGCAAGGTAACAATTGAAATGGCCTCTCTGGGTCCCAGTTCCTGCATCCCACTTGCCTTCCCTTAGCCATAGAAAGGGTCTGGAACCTCCACTAGTGCACTGTAGGTCCTCTGCATGCTCTCCATCTCTATACTGCACATACAGACTCTACCTTCATTATAAATAATGCACCTTGTCTCCACTCCAAGAGCTGGATGCTTGTCTGATGTCCTGTATCTGAATTACTTTATGGATCATCTCTTCTCCTCCCTCTGACACTGGAGCCCTGCTTTGCTCTTATCTTCTGTTTTGATCTGGTCTTCCTGAAGACTGCCCACTCCCAGACCTGCAGACACTGAGTTTTGCTGTTCTACCTCATGCTGGACCTTTCAGAATAAACCACCAACTGAATATCCCACCACTGACCAGCTGTCCCATCCCCATCCCCTCTGCCTGGCTGCCTGTGGCTGGATCTACTTCTGGTGAGTACCCAGCTCAGCTAATGTGTCTCATCTCTTGTTTGGATCTTTCCTCTCTGTCTCCTCCTGCCCCCCCAAAAAGCCAAAAACCAAAACCCCAAAAAACCTTGACCAGTCAACACTGTCAAAATATAATACATAGCACTCAATATTCAATATTCCTAGTCAGGAAAGATATCATTTTACAGCTACCAATCACTTTTTACTTTTCAAAGCCCCAGGAAATATTATTTCAGATTTTAAAGAGCCAATTTAGTTTTTTGTCATGTTGACAAATTGTTATGAAATTCATGAGTCTTGCAGTAACTGCCCTTTCTGAGAATTGTAGGAAGGGAATCTATTTAATAAAGTAGGAGAGAAAGGAACGGAAGACAAAGAGGCTACAGAAATGAAAGTATATTTAAAACATTTAAGCACTCATTTGTTCTCACTAGAGGTAGTGCAAAAAAGTGCGCTAGTTTATAAATTAAATTGTCAGTGGACATGTTATGTTTCTAGTTCAAAAATCTGGAAGAACTTTAATCATAGTTAATAATCATGTATTCTTTCTTTCACTTAAATTCTGTATGTTAGAATAACCCAAGAAGAGTTAATCTCAAAGCCACCATGCAAATAATTTGAAAACAAAAAAAGCTCCTTCCAAACAGATTCATATTTTACTAATAGATTCTCCCTACTTCATGTCAAGCAGATAATAAAAAAAAAGTTAAATTAACTTGTACCAACTTACTTCTTACATAATTTCTAAGACTATCATAGAATGTTATTCAGAAAAAGAAACTACATTTGACATTTTAATTTCAGGACAAATAATAATTATTTTTTCATTTATGAAATAGCTCCACTTACTTAAAATTTCCTAAGGAGTGTCTGCTGGTAACTTCCTTTTTCTGTAACTTTACCTCTCCTATACATGTGGGCTAGTATGCACATTCATTCTTTTTTCCTACTTTCATAATATTTTAGTTTTTATGACTTAACATTGAAAAGTCAAGTAGCTTCTACCAAGAGTTACGGTAAATACATTTTCTTTACATTCTTTAACTTTCATTTTGCAAGTACAGAATTTCTTTTTCAAGATACATTATTAGTCTAAATAATTTAAAAAATCATATTAGAAAATACAATTATGTGTCTCTTAAGGTCTTAAGACTTATAAACCCATTTTTCCCATCAGCTTTTTAAAATTGTTAAAAAAATAAAATTCAATACTATGTAAAACAGACTGATGTTATTCAGAGGAATAAAAATAAGACAGAGGACAGTTCTCATTTGTTGGCATGATCTGGTGCTGTAGTCTTCTGCACCGTGTAAAACTTAATTTCCATTAATACAGGAGAATCATTTGTTTGATATTACTGTGTGTATTTACACAATGAGTACCGGAGTCACCATGCACTCAGCAACAACATCCTCATGTGTTTATAGCAGTTGTGTGGTTGAGGTAGCCTACAAACCAGAATATGCTGATTTGGTCGGCAGGAAACCAAAGTGAATCAAACGGACCTCCATGTTGTCTCAAACTAAAACCTCAAATGTTCTCTTTTGCCACAATGTGATTATGCAATATGCTTTGAGTTGCTGAAGGGTGGAACAGTACTGAAAAGCAGTTACTTGGCTAAGACTAAAGTCCTATGACACATTTCTGAACTACTGTTGGTTGAATTAAAGCTTAACTCTAACTCTGGGACTGTTACAACAAATCAGATTCAGACATAAACTACGTATCACAGATTCTGACATTCCTTTTAAAAAAGTAGATTTCAAAATTGAGGAAAGAGTTAACATCTACTCTGAATTCTGTAAACTCACCTGTTTTAATAGTTGTTACTCTGGCTTCATAAGCTTTAGAAAATAACCCCAAACCCCATGAACTTGCTGAATACTTAGTTTCACACTCCACTACTATATAGAAAATGATCTAACATAGCTGAAGCTTTGTGCTCACCCCCCCCCACCCGCATATATGCATGGAAGAGAATTTTTAAGATGTAGGTAACAGCGCAATCATTAGGCAGTTTCTGAAATTAAAATGGCTACCTTGACATTTCTGAATTTAAAACAAAATATCTTATTGTAATCTTTTTAGCTCTATTAAATTTAAGATTTCTTAAACCAAAGAGAAAAAAAACACAGCATGAACAATATGATGAAGGGTTCCAATAAGCTTAGCTGGGCCACCGTGTAGAATATTCTATTGAAAAGAATTAAAATGGGCCAATAAACTCAAAGAAACCCTACCCCTCTTCCATTCTCTGTAATAGAACAACAAAAATCAAATAAATACCTCAAATAGAAAGGTGACATAGGTCTTTCATCTTCCTGTGAACTAAAAGGAAAATAAATTTTGTATTAATTTCTGTTAATATTTTAACATATCAATTTTACTAAAACTCTGTTCTTCCTGTCAGAAATTTTATTTTGACACATTAGAGCTAATCTCACGATGGAGTAAAGTTAGTAAAACATACTCTACCTTGGACCTAGCCAAGGTCAATTACTTCTTCATGGGAGACCATCAAGAGAGGTTTCTCTCAAGATTAGCCTCAGGCAAAAGTAAGTCAACGTCACACTTTCAAGAGCTTTTTACTACCTTATTTCTACAAGCCTCATCCAAGTTCCATATACTATACATAAACCCTTAAAATGATTGCATACTTAATTATCTCAATAAAGTTAATTATAGCTCATTACCACGATGATGAAAGTAAGAAACAGCCAACAAAATATTCCTGTTAAGTGTGAACCACTTCAGGAAGGATGTCCTAGCAATGAGAGACATATCAGTAAACACTACTCTTGCTCTTTGTTCTCTGTAGTTACTTTAAGTATTAACAAGTATGGATAACATGTAAGGACATAAATGAAATTATAGAAATAGTTTACAGTCTTCAACCCACACAATAGTTTACATTCTTCAAAAACAATATGAAGCTTATATAAAAGTATTTTTAAAAATGTAAGATATATACAATATTTTTTTTCCCTTTAACATGTGTTTTTCTTTTGACAAATGACTTCAAAGCAAAGACTGAGTCTCTTTCCCTTAGTGTCTGCTGGAGGTCTTTGAACTTTTTTGATCATGCATTCATAAAATTTGCTTTTAAACAGCACTCCCCTCAGTATATGACTAAGTATCGACATCTACTAATTACATGCATCATTAAACGGATAAAAGTAGAAATATAAACTATCGTTTACTTTTTAAAAGTAAAAAGAGGCTCTAATATTTTCTTCTTGTACCTCTGGTTAATCTTGTACATCACCTGGGGTGTCCACCACCTTTGGGGAAGCGACTAGATAACTTCAGCTTTCCCTCTCTCTTGGCTTTTTATTTTCTAAAGGATCATTGATGAAAAGAGAAAAGTTTGCTCAGTTGGTAATATCCTGGCAAAATCTTACTACACAGTTACACTGTAAAACCCATACACACAAACACACCTGTCCTACAAGTTGAAAAGGTCTTAACATTTTAGTTGGAAGATGGCACATAAACTATGACATACTATTTTTCATTCTTGCATGATTTTGGTTTCCAATTTCATTATAGTTTAGCTATTCTAATGTTTTTGTTGCCAAAGACTTTAAGAATGTGCCAATTCTTTCTAAGTGATGGGTAAATGATGGATCAGCTTTGTTATCGACTCTAATGTGGTTGGACTGAGGGCACAGCTTAGAGAGTCAGGTTGCAGAGCTGAAGAGTTAGGGGTGACATGTGGGAGATGTCCACCTGGAGCAGGGCTATTACAGGAGGGGACTACTTTAAGCGAAACTGGTACAAGGAGCTTACATAGTGGTTCCAAAAAATTCACTGAAAACCCTGAACAAAACAAATTATTAAAAATATTGGAATTGAGTTTCCTAATCAAGTATTCACTGTCAAAAAGTACTAATTGTGACCAGCACCATGCAAAAAGGCTGCAACTAAAAACCTCTAACGATTTTATTATTATAGGAACATTGCCTCCACGTGTTATAAAAGGGGCACTGTACTAAAAACTTTTATGCCCAGAACAGATCCTTAACTCTAACATGTAACAAATTTTAATGAAAATTAACAAGGGTACTTTAGTGAAGATTCAATTAGCAATATGGTTGGTTTCCTTAGAACTTAGAAGTGCTTTTGGGAGAAGAGTTAGATGGTGCAGAGTTCTAAACACAGCTGTTCATATGTTTTGGCTAATGTTTATTTTGTGTGCGTGTGCTAATTTTCTTTGTAGCAAACAGAGGCAATTAAAATCAATCCTTTCTTCTTTTACATCTTTTCTCCCTCACACATTTATTCATTAGCCAGGTGCTACTTACTGGGGGCTCCGACATTAATTAACTCATGTAAATCCTCATCAAAACCCTTTCTGGTACTTGCTCCTCAACTTGAGGTAAGTGGGCTCAGAGGGGGCACATAACAGATGCAGGTCACACAGCTAGTGATGTGTGAGTTATTGTATTACATGTTAGTCCATTTTTGTCCGTTACCGGCTTCCCTTCAGCCTTAAGCTATCAGAATATGGTGGGATGAACAGGTGAAGAAAATCGATGCGATGGCCAGTCAGCATTGCAGCAGCCCTCAGCAAGATCTCGTGGATTTTATATCCCCCATGTCATGCTTCTGATTATAACGACTCTACACCAACCGTAGTCCATTCATAGTGCATGATGACTGGCAGCATGTGGAAAGTGAATATTTTATTAAAATGTACTGGCAGTCTAAGAATGTCTCCTGATAGAAACACAAATTTTTAATCATAAGCAAGAATTTTTCAGGCTGTATCTGCCTGAAAACAAGGTAAAGTTGTCAGTGAGAGACAGAATCAGAAATTCTTAATTTGGATATGTCCCTGAAGTTTGACTAGTTTTACGTGTTCTAAAAAAAAAAAGTGCAAGTACTGCAATTTAAACTAAATGAAACAGATTCAGTACTAGATTTGCTCAATCAGTAGTAGTCAACAGGGTAGCAATCCATGCACAGTACTCAAGAAGAACAATATAATTAAAAAAGAGAAAGAAATCAATTTTGATAGTTAATTAGCATATTTCTCTTTTCCTTTTCATGACAGTACCCTTTCCTTGGGTTTTTGTAACTTGACAAGGGTATAAATTTTGAAACAAAACGGAACTAATGCAAATTAAGTCAGTTAATTCTAAAAATCAATTTAATGCACTAATTTTAAAGGCAATTTTAAGAAAAAAATGGCTAAGGACAGGACAATTTTCCAAATAGAACTGAGAAAATAAACTTTTCTACAAAATTTACATATCAGAATACAAGACATTTGAAAAAAAGTCACCATTTCTACATTTGCACAAAATGGATATTTTACTGTTGTTACAGGCCCGCAAGCATCTATTTATAGAGGTTATTTATGCCTGTTCCTGGATTTATGTTAATTTAATGGCATGTCCAATGATATTAAATGAGTCATAATTTTTGGCCTAAATTTTAAATTGAGAATTCTGACTCATTTTTAATTTTTAAAAATAAGCACAAATCCTGTGAATGAAAAAGGGAGTGTGTGTTATGAAATTAAGTCAATGACAAACTCTAATAACTTGGAATTCATTCCATTTCCTCCTTGGTTACTAGTATAAACCCCAGGTTTTAATTATTTCCTGTTTGTTAACTCTGAATAATGGCCAAGCTTAAGCAGCCAATTAGTTTATCTTTTTTTCCCTCTTTTTAAAATTTGAACATACATTTAGAGATTTGGGCAGCCACCTCATGTATGTCCGTCAGTCAGATGCTTAATGTCCTCAGACATGTGGTGATATAATCTCTCAAAACAACTGCCTCTGGGAAGAGCATTTATCATATAGACCCAAGTAACAGTCCAAATCTAGGAAGCTACAACTGAGAAGGGCAATAACAGATACTATGTTTTTAGTGGGGTCTTAATCAAATTTATTTATAGGGCTCTATATTGGTAAATGCACAGAAATGAATCACACCTAGACTTACAGTTTCTTCATGAGTGGCACTAATTTCTAACCTGAAGCCACAGGATACAATGTCTATCAATTTAATTACACAGCAAGCTAACGGGTATCACAAAATGTGTGGCACTTTCTATGTCTGAGAAAAATCAAATACTGTTGGGAGAATCCTCAGAGTGTGGTATTCAAAAGGGACCTTCCACAGCTGGATCAAATCACCATTCCATTCAATTCCCTTCTGAACTGTTCTGATAAATGTTCCAATGAGTCCAACGTTCTAATTGGTTATTGTGGCTGGATACCAAAACAAAAACAACAACAACAAAAAACAAACATCATCTGCACATTTAGCTACACACTTGAACTAAATTTTCAAGTGACTTGAGCTAGAAGAAATAGTTTGCAAGTGTTCCTTGAGTACTGAGGAGTACTAAAAAAACCCAGGTAAATGCTAAGGATTAGGTTCCATTATGGGAGAAACGAGGAAAATCATCTATGGGGGCTTAACACAAAACAGAGAGCAAAAGGGAGAGACTAAGCGAGGGAGCAAAAGGATACAATTAAAAGTATTAAGTAAGCTTTTTTTTCCTGGAATTCGAGGTTTTCCCTCATGTTGAGGAGAATTTTCTTAGAGAATGATGAGGTGAATAAAGTTAGTACATTTTCTTTCCTTCCTTCTTCTGCAAAACCCCAAGTGCCACACTTCCTTGAGCATTTTCAATTTATGCCCAGGCCCAGGCATGAACCATGGACCACTCCAATCAGGGAGTGATGGCGCAGCTGGTGTGCTCAGAGTTTTGGGTTGGCCCCATTCAGGGGTATGGAAAAGAAAAACAATCTCCCTGTTCTTCTTGGGAAACAAATGTAAATGTTTTCAAGCTGGCTCATAGCTAAGTGTTTGCAGCTAAAATTCTGGGGGGACACTTCTGTAGATGCATGCATATACTTTATTGTAAGTTTTGTTTGTTTAGTTGTATTATTCGCATGCTGTGACTAAGAACACAACACCTCTCCAGTAGAAATAAAAACAAATTAGTGAAGTTTAAGAGCAAATCAATTTTCCTGACAAAAGAGTTAATGCAAAGAGCTGAAGCTGTTAATATTCACAGGACATGAATTTTTAGCCAACACTAAGAGCTATTAATTTTTGAGGCAACATAAACAGACAAAACAAAGACTTCCAAAAATTGAGAACTTTTTTCTTAATAAGACAGGAAAATGTTTTTACCACTTTCTTGATCGCCTAGTGGAAATCTGAAATATATTGGTTATGGGTTGAATTGTGTCCCTTCAGAAAGATATGTGGAAGCTTGAACTTCCAGTACCTTAGCATGTGACCTGATTTGGAAATAGGGTATTTACAGAGGTGATCAAGTTAAAATGAAATCATTACAGTGG